AATGGAAGAAGCTGTAAAAGCTGCTAAGTCTGGAACTGGACCAGGTGTTAACTTAAATCAATCTATCAGAGATAGGCTCAAAAAGAAGATGTCACAAATGAAGGTATGCCATTATTTGGTCATTTTTGATTCATCCCACATTTCATCTTCCAATTTATTTATGAGTACCTCAAAAGCGTATCTGAGGGTGAGTTGTGCAGGCATACAGAAGCCACATAAGACAAGTATGTGTATACTACCAATTTTTTTGTTTTAATACAATACAATAAATAAAATCTATTAACCTAGCAGTACAGCTGGTTTTCAATGGGGAATGTATGAAGATGTTCATAGAAAGAACTTAAGCAAATAGCTAGGGCTATGTTCAAAGTTGTCTGGGCTGGTATATATATTACCCAACCTGGGATTGGGTCTATTGATTGCTAGACATTGATTTGATAACTAAATCAATATTCAACCCAAATACATTATTAGGAGCAAGCTGCAGAAGAAAGCAAAGAAGAAGAAAGTAGAGATGATTCTAAAGTTAGCGGTAAACCTCCTACAAGACGATTACGTGGTATGAGAGGAAAACAATTGGCTACAAGATTTGATGAACCCATGGTAAGTGTATATCACTTTTCTTTGTTTGTTTGGTATTACTAAAGTATATACAAATATCTGTCATAGTGAACATGAATAAACCTGGTTTCATTTGATTAGTGCATATTATTTTGCAAATAATACAGATACCATGACGTCATGTGAAACAAAATGTGTGGTCAAGTTGAATCACAGTAATCCTGTATTTACTAGTTTGCTAATTTGGACTTTCAGGGTATTGTCTACATGTATAAGCAGTCTGTAGGTTTTTCAGGTTATTAAGGTCATTGTGAAGTTTATTCATCAAACTATTTGGTATGTCCAATTTGTATCACAAAAACTTTGCTTTCAAGAGACTACTATGCACCTCTATTCTCCTTCCAACATTAACATAAGAACTACAACTTAATTTTATTCTGTTGAAACTGTTTCATTAAATGTGTTGCTGACATCTCTTTATTGTTACAGTCAGAGGATGAGAAGAAATTACATGAGACTATTGAAGCTAAGACACAGTGGCAGAAAGCATTGAAAGCTATGAAAGCCAAGGTATGTATATAGATATATTATACATGTTTTAGTATAACTAGCCTGGAGATATCCATGCATTGTTTCTAATGAAAAGCTACATGTAAACAGAATACACAACTAAAATGGATGTTGCACAGAAATATAAAATAAAATATACACTGTAAGATCATTGATGCTTGCTCAAATATTTGTTTTTGTGTATTATAATAGTGATAGTTAAAGGGCATTGGTTGTCATACTGCACATGTTCAACATTTGTGTTGATAAACATTGATTTTTCCACAATCCAATGTGCTTTTTTAATGAAATCATGAGTATAAGTTTTGCCCTGGGCACCACTTACACTAATTACCGCTGACGACTTCCTTGATATCTTCCAATCACCAACAAATTATCTAATTAAAAATTTGTAACCTCATTTGTCTGCGCAACAGTCAAATTTGCCAGGCAAAACTTGATCAATCAGGCAAAACTTGATCAATCAGGCAAAACTTGATCAATCAGGCAAAACTTCATCAATCATTTTTTGGGGGTATGGCGAAGGATGGATTGCTTATAACAAAAATGTGCTACTTAGCATTTCCTAGACACAATGCTTTATAAAAAAAATTCTAGAATGATATTACTACCAGGGATCGAAATACCCTGGTGCACACTGCACTATGCACATAGATTATTAGCACGTGCAAGTAAACTCAAAATATAGTGTGCACACTGTGCATGTAGAAACAACATTTTCTCATTATATTCACTCAGCCTAAATTAAGTTCAACCAACATTGTGAAACAACTAAAAAAAACAATTCTTTCGTGATCGCATCAATCGAGAACCCATAAATTTTATTTAAACTTTAAAAGTGGTGCATTTCATAACAAGTTAGTGCAGGGAAATTTCTAATTCAACATGCACACTATGCATGCAGGGAAAAAAATTCTATTTCAATCCCTGACTACAAATTGTTTTTATTATATATGTAGGAATCCCAAATGCCATCAGCTGAGGAGGCATTTGACTTTTTTACCAAAGAATTTGAACCTGAACCTGAAATAAAACCAATGGTTAAAGCTGGAACAAGTAAAGAAACAGATGAGGATGAAGAATCTCAAAAAGAAAAAAGGAGACAGGAAGAGGAAGAAAAGGTAATGTTATCATGAATAGTGAACCAATCAATTCAACCCTGTCACCCATGGTGTTTTCAATCTTCTTTCTTTCTTGGTTGTTGTTGATAGGAAATAGAAGAAAGAGCTGTTGAGGATACAACAGAGGATGAACCCTTATTAGGAGACTATTTTACTGACGCTGATGAGTGGAAATATAATCCATATGAATTAAAACCAGCACAATATACACCATATAAAGATGTAGTAAACAGAGAAATGAATGTTTATTTTAGACCATCTGTAGCTACAGGTAAGTGTCCCTGATGGCATGGCATCCTTTGAGATCACACTGTCTGTTGTACCACTCTATGTCATCATTGTCAGCTCAGTCTGCCTCTTGGTCATCTTTGAAAACAAATTTTCTCATTGTTTCTTCATTCTTTACCCTCCAACGAATAGTGGACTTACTGGCTTCTAGATCACGTGCAACCCTTGACTTGGTTTCATCTTTCTTGACACAATTGATCGCTGCTAGTTTTTTACATACATGCTGCTCAGTTGAGAACTAGAGATCAGAGTGATAGATTCAACTCATTGTAGTGAGTTTTATAGAGCTATATCAAAGGGGGGAGGGGGCTGCTGGGAAGTATGTAAAGTTGTGACTTGACACCCCTGTCTACACCTTGAGTCAGGCTACCGTCATCTTTTGTATCTCAGTAATTGATGAACAGTAGATATCTCTTCTAGCCTTTTAATGGTTGGTTAAATACACGAGGCATCAAAACATCAGTTCTTTTACTTCAAAACTGTTTGGCAGCCATCCAACTACCTGCGACTTAGCTAAAATCGTTACTTACTGAGGCATTGCTTAGCCAGGGGTTACTGTTCTACATGTACATGTGTTTAAATGATTCTTTTAGGTGACAAAGTTTAGTTGAAAGTCACTCACCAAAATATTTATGGACCTTATTCTCTAAATGTCACAATGTCGGGTACATTTATTCCAAGGTTACATTTGTTTGTTTTCCATATACAAATTTAACTTGAAAAATTACATTTCTGTAGTGTTCTGTTATTATTGGAGTCCATTTTTTAAATGTAGTATCAACCTGTCATTTAGTTTTGCGATAAAATTTTCAAAAATATATATTGACTTAATGAAAGAAAAGAATCCTCTAAATTGGGGCTTTCCTCCATGTCTCCCACTTTTAACATTTTCACTACCAGACTTTCCTCTAAATTGGGGCTTTCCTCCATGTCTCCCACTTTTAACATTTTCACTACCAGACTTTCCTCTAAATTGGGGCTTTCCTCCATGTCTCCCACTTTTAATATTTTCACTACCAGACTTTTCTATAAATTGGGGCTTTCCTCCATGTCTCCCACTTTTAATATTTTCACTACCAGACTTTCCTCTAAATTGGGGCTTTCCTCCATGTCTCCCACTTTTAACATTTTCACTACCAGACTTTCCTCTAAATTGGGGCTTTCCTCCATGTCTCCCACTTTTAACATTTTCACTACCAGACTTTCCTCTAAATTGGGGCTTTCCTCCATGTCTCCCACTTTTAATATTTTCACTACCAGACTTTTCTATAAATTGGGGCTTTCCTTCATGTCTCCCACTTTTAACATTTTCACTACCAGACTTTCCTCTAAATCGGGGCTTTCCTCCATGTCTCCCACTTTTAATATTTTCACTACCAGACTTTCCTCTAAATTGGGGCTTTCCTCCATGTCTCCCACTTTTAACATTTTCGCTACCAGACTTTCTCACCAAAATTTGTCTGCACTTTATTTTTTATATTCTTCAATGTTTCTTAAAATTAACTCTAAGAAAGTGCATACTATAAAAGGAACTATTCTGCGAATTTGTGATGAAAAGAGGGAACTGGCTGTGAAAAGGTTTAGCATCATATAAAATTGAAGTTGATCATAAAAGACACAGTACCTACCGTATATAGGGTCAATTTAAACATTGGTATACGCAGTTATTCATTGGTATACGCAGTTATTGACACAGGGTATACAATGTATATTCAACATACTTGGACTGGTACAGTGTATGATAACTCTTAATATTATGTAAACATGTGTTTTCTGTGTAATTAGTGCCAGCAAATCAGAAAGTTAGAGAGAATCAAGAGCCAAGGTACCTAGAAGATGAAGGCTTTTATGTTGGAATAAGACCTCCAGTTGAAAAACGTAATGTGAATATTGAAGAGCAAAGACTTATTATGAGACCAGATAAAGTAAGTATAACAAATCTTGAATTACTTATATCCGTAGTTATAAATTTCTAAATTTATCAGGTATCAAAAAAAATTGAGGTTTTAGGAAGCTGTCAAATTGTGGAGGATGTGATTGACAAAATATTATTGTACATGAAAACAAAAGAAAGCACTGGAAAATGTGGTCTACTTATAAGATTGTATGTAAAGGTTACCAGCATACTCGAAATGTCAACAATATTGTAGAAGAATAATAATGTAAACAATTCAATTTTGTGATGATCACAGATCGGTAAAAACAATTAGAGTATTTATATCAATGAATCTTTCACTGTGGTCCTAAAGACATAGAGTCAAAATGACAATTGCAAAATGTTGTCATCAAACACTATTAATTCTTGTAAATTGTTAGTAACGGTTTACAGTATCCAGCTTGTAATGAAATAGACATTGTTAAACCACTTGTTTCTTTAACAGGGTTCTAAATGGTTTGGTGATGATGGTAGAATTAAAGCATTACCTGATCCATTAAAAAGCCAGCCAACAAGACCTCCTGTTATAGAACCAGAAGATATTGATCCTTATATTCAGACTGACTACACCAAGGTATTGTATTTTTTTATTTCTAAAAAGGGTTTTTCGACTAAAATAACTCAAGGTGTAAACTAAATAATGAGTGGATTATGAGTGATATGTATATGTGTAATATGTAATGTTGACTTTATGTATGTGTAAATTTTGCTGCATTTGCGTAAATCAAGAGTGTTATATTCTGGTGTGCATAGTGTCAAAAACATAAAATGAACAACAAATCTATGTCACTTTTGTAGACTACAATTGCTGCCTTTATGTTCTCTCTGTACACATTGCATATCAATGAAAAGAACACCCTCATTTATACATAGAAAGTGATTATTATGCATTATTAATTGCGCTTCACTGATCTTGCATAAATGTTATTTAGCTACAATTGGAAATCCATTCAAATCCATATTTTCAGCATTCCTGAAAGAAGTAAATAAATCAACTTCATATGTCATTATTGACTAGACCTTAGGCCTAAATAGCCACTGAGATATCACTGGGAATACTTCAGATATCAAGATTAGTAGAACTATGGATGTAATGACTGGAAAGATTTGAACGCCATTGAAGGAAGAACACTATTTGCATAGTTCTCTCATTGAGATCGTAACCATATGAATTCAAGGTCACAATGGGAAATAGCTCACTAGAAACGATGTGTGATTTGAACTGGTGACAATTGCATCAATTTGCCTAGCTGTATGTTTCACTCATCACTTCATGCATTTATTAGTAGAGAGAGAATTGCTGATAATAGACTCTTTAATATTTTCCTACTGAATGTACCATATTTCAAATTCCATTTTTCTGTTACAGGCTTACTTTGTTGACTTTGACAGTCGTTTTATTGATGGTTTTGGTGAATCCTACGGTAAATTTCAGCTGGATGTAGATGTCAATGCTATTACTTTCACTCATCATTCATTATTCAGTAAAGAACACGTATTGGCATCCAGATTACAGCAATTATGGACACAATATCTGCTGAGGAACCAGAAAAACATGACAGACTTTCTGACGGACAAGGTAAGTTATATTTCACCTGTAAATGCAGGTTCTAAACCCCACATTTAAATCATGTGATAATCATGATGGGACCTTTATTTAACATGTTGTATTGTTTATAGTGCAACTTTTAATTCATTTAGTCAAAAATCATGAAAATGGTGGTTCAGATATTTAATATGCACTTTTTTTATTGGTTTCTAGCATTACTGATTTATGTACAAATACTGTTTTCAGTAATGTATGTTAACTCTAGACTTGCAGGACCTGTGACGACTGTAACAATTTAAACTAGCTGGTTCAAACTGGTGTAATTTTGGATATGAATTGTTTTGTCATAAGTTATGTACAGGAGGCTGTATGGAGACATTTATCATGTACAATGTTACATGTGTACCAGTTAGCAGGCCTTATTAGCCTCCAATTTTTTGACTCCCATGTGCGAAGCACAAAATGGGAGTCTTTGCAGTTAGTGTGTCTGTATGTGTGTATGTGTGTATGTGTGTGTGTATGTGTGTATGTGTGTCCGACTGTTCCACTGCTATCTCAAGAACCATACATCGGTTTTTGATGAAACTTGGTGCATAGATGCTCTGGGCCAATGCGCAGATTTGATTAGGTTTTGGTAAAAATCCATGCTCGTTAATTACCTAATTTGCATGATAATTAGCTAATTTTTAGCTGTTCTATGACTGTTCCACTGATATCTAAAGAACCACTCATTGGATTTTGATGAAACTTGGTACATAGATGCTCTGAACATATGCGCAGATTTGATTAATTTTTGGTAAAAATCCGTGCATATTAATTACCTAATTTGCATGATAATTAGCTATTTTTTAGTGGTTCCATGACTGTTCCACTGATATCTAAACAACCACTCATTGGATTTTGATGAAACTTGGTACATAGATGCTCTGAACTAATGCTAGGTTTTGATTAGTTTTTGGTAATAATCCGTGGATACTAATTACCTAATTTGCATAATGATTAGTCAATTTTCGGTTTTTCCACTGATATCTCAAGTACTAATCATCACATTTCAATGAAACTTGGTACATAGATGTCATACGACAC